GGCTCCCACAAAGGGGTCCCACCAAGGGCCTTCTGCAGTGGGGGTCCCACAAAGGGCTTTGCAACGGGCTCCCACAAAGAGGGTCCCACAAGGGTGTCTGGCAGCCACACAGCCCTGGCAGTGCCATCCATGGGGTGGGAGCCCAAGAGGTGTCTCTCCCTGGCTGTGGCCAGTGCTGGGATATGGGCTGAACCCCCGTGGGGACTGACTGTGGGGCAGGTCTGAAGCCAGAGAACTCTACAGGAGGTGCCTCCACCCACCCGGGACAGCCCGATTTCATTGCTGAGGTTCCACCATTGATTTTCTTTCAGTGGGGAACAAGTCCTGAAGGTCCTCCCAGGTGGCTGCTGGGTTTGTCACACAGCCGTAATGCCAGCACAGGGGTGGAGGTGAGTTGGAGGAGATAAGGCTGCTGCTGGTGCCAGCTGGGCCCTGGCACTGCCTGTGTGCCTGCACTCACCTTCTAATGAAGCAGAGATAAGATGGGGCAAGGAGGCTCCTGGCAGAAGGGGGGGTCCTGCTGCCAAAGGGAAATCTCACCCAACCCGTGGAGTTTGGGTGCTCTTGACTCCTTTTCCTGTGGGAAGAGCAGCAGACAGAGGGGCTTTGATGAGGAACAAGGGTTCTTGTGCTGCTGCAGAGGGGGTCAAGTCTGGTGTGAGAGTCAGAGGCTGGGGTTAAGGATGAAGCAAGAGAGGTAAATAGAAGAAAAACCACCCGAGGAAGTGAAAGTTATGTAAGAAATAAGTACTGTATGTGCCTAAAGACTGGGAGGTGACAGAGGAGCTGTTGGAGGCTCCGGGGAGGTGGCCAGGATGGGCAGGAGCACAGCGATGTGCCAGGGCAGAGCCAGGATCTTCTCAGCTGTGTTGAGAAAGACGGGAGGAGAAGAAAGATCACAGGGAGACAAAAGCTTCCCTGGAGTAGGAGGAGAAGTGCTGAAAGAAAACCGAGTTTCACAAGGGCTGGGAGTGGCTGGTGCCACCCTGGGTGCGTCCTGCCCAGGAGTGTCAGAGATGGGGATCAGGGGGCCAGGAGATGGGGATGTGGGGACTGGGATATGGGAATAAGGGGACCGGGAGCGTGGCATATGGGGCTTTTGGAGGGGATGCCAGCAAGTGTGTTTGTGTAACTCCTTGTGCAGGAAAGGGGTGGTTGGGCGAGTGTCTCCATCGGCAAAGGAGCCAGAGAGCACCTGATCCTGAACCAAAGGGTTTGGTTGAACCCAGGAAGGGTCCAGTCCCCAGCCAGGGCACATGGCGGGGATGGTGAGACCCTGCCAGGCAGAGCCACGGGAAGGACCTGGAGCCTTGAGCCAGGGAGGATGAGGAGTTGCTCTTGTGTTGCTGCTGAGATCAGTATTAAGACACGTTTAATGCATTTTCTGTTCTGATCTGACAGGAGGGACAGAGGGATGAGCTGAGCACACAGAACTGGTGAGGGGATGGGGGGGATCGGTGTGGAGAGGTGTGAAGGTGGCAGATGGAGCAGACCCCTCCCAGCAGTGGGAGGCATGGCAGAGGGGCCTGGTCCCTCGGGGTGGGGAGGGGAGACAGGGAGCTACAGAAATGTGTGATACCCCAAAGCCAGGGAAAGCTAGAAAATGAGCACCCACAGCAGAGCCCAGCCCACAGCTTGGCTGTGCACCAGCCTGGTCGTGGTCACACCTGCAGCTCTTCCTCAAAAATAGATCTCAGCACTGCACCTAGGGAGCAGATATGGACTTTGCCCCAGGAGTTGGGATAGTCAAAGGGAAGGACAGGGCAAGCAGAGCACAAAGACACACGTGCTTCACAGAGCAGCTCCATCACTGCCAGGGGTCAGCAGGGCATGGGTGTGCTCCAAGAGGAAATCTGAAGGAATCAGTGTAATAGCAGATTTCTGCATAGATTTTTTTTTTTCCCCTGAAAAGTTTTGAATTTGTTGAAAAATGGGGTGATTAAATTTGTCACTGCTGGTTCAGTTGTTCGTTGGCAACCAAGGAGAGCCGGGGTGTGAAAGGAAAGCAGCTCGTGCCTGGTGCAGAGCCCAGTGGTGGGAGGGAGGAGCAGAGGTTCCCTGAAGGGTGTCAAGAGTGTTTCCTTTGGGAGCTGACATCCATGATCCATCCTGGCTTGGCAGCATGTTGGGAAACAGCATTTCCAGCCAGCTCTGCTGGACCCAAGGAAAGTGAGATGGGAAGTGGAACCGAACCAACTGTCCTGCTCCCTGTCCTCCCCCTGCAGTGCTGGGGCAGCTGGCTGGCCTCAGGCTCCCGAGCAGCAAAGCTCCATTCCCGGGGTACCGGGGTTCCTGCCTTCTATGGAGAAAAGTGCAAAGTGGTTTGTGCAACATAAGGACTTTATTTTCGTCCTGAGGCCCAGAGGAGTGGAGCTCGTCCCTGTTTGTGGGAGTGCCCCGCAGTAAGAATCCAGGCCTGACTCTGTTTTGGGATGGGTGGTGTTAAAACACATTGGTGCTGGTCTTGGGAGCGTGTTGTTCTTCCAGCCTCCCTACCCTGTGGTGCTTCTGCTCGGGGAAGGGACCCGGGGCTGGGCTGGGGGATCCAGCTGGTGCCTCCACAGTCGTGGAGACACTGGGGGAGCAGCTGGGTCCTGGGGCCCGTCTGCCCTCCCGGCGGCTGCTGCAGGACCCTCTGTGCAGGATGGGTGGCCTCGACCCCCCCAGGGGCCCTGGGGCTGTCACTGCCCACCGCCCCCGCCGGCACCACTTGGGGCCCAGGGGTCCCAGCCCGGAGGGTCCTGGCTGGCAAAAGGGAGGCG